GTAGAAGGCCCTCCCGCCTGCAGGGCGATGATCAGAGAGGTGCAGGCAGGACACACAGACTCTGGGGGCTGAAGGCAGGAGTTGTCCGAGAGGATGAGCCCCAAGAGCCAGGGTGTGAGACAGCACGACCGGGAAGTGCCCTGTGCCTCTGGCCAAGGCTTAGCAGGCTGCTCAGGACCGGAAATGTTATACCTGGAAGGATTTCACAGGATCTTTTTAGGCCACATGCCTAAGGCCGTGTCCAGACTCAGGGGTTCTTTCGAAAAAAGTAGCCTTTTTTCGAAAGAACTTCCCCTGCGTCCAGACTCAAGCCGCGTTCTTTCGAAATTATTTCGAAAGAATGCGGCTTTTCTTTCGATGGCGGTAAACCTCAATTTACGAGGAAGAACGCCTTCTTTCGAAAGTTCCTCTTTCGAAAGAAGGCGTTCTTCAATGTAAAGAGGCCGTCTTCGAAAGAGAGCATCCAGACTCGCTGGGTGCTCTCTTTCGAAAAAGCGGATTTCTCTTTCGAAAGATCCGCCTGCAGTCTAGACGCGATCTTTCGAAAGAGGCTCTTTCGAAAGATGCTTTCGAAAAAGCCTCTTTCAAAAGATCGCGTCTAGACTGCAGGCGGATCTTTCGAAAGAGAAATCCGCTTTTTCGAAAGAGAGCACCCAGCGAGTCTGGATGCTCTCTTTCGAAGACGGCCTCTTTACATTGAAGAACGCCTTCTTTCGAAAGAGGAACTTTCGAAAGAAGGCGTTCTTCCTCGTGAAACGAGGTTTACCGCCATCGAAAGAAAAGCCGCGTTCTTTCGAAATAATTTCAAAAGAACGCGGCTTGAGTCTGGATGCAGGGGAAGTTTTTTCGGGAAAAGGCTACTTTTCCCGAAAAAACCCCTGAGTCTGGACACGGCCTAAGTGCACATGCAACACATTCACTGCTGGGACCCTCAAAATCACAGCACATCCTGCTCCATGTGCATCAGATCTCTAACTAGGGATGTTAAATATCGGTTAATTGAATAGTTGAGTAACTTCATGATTTCTTACTGGTCAGTCAACTAGTCTATAGTCCCTGGGAGCGGGGCCAGCAGCCAATGTGCTCCAGCCTCATACCTGAGGAACCCCCTGCCACTCCACGCTGCTGCCTCTGTATCCATGTAGAGTGCCAAGTGGGACCCAGATTAAAAAACAGCACCCTTCATGGACCAGCTGCCTGTTGCCCTGTGCTGCTACTTCTGATAAAGAAGCAGCAGTATGGGGTGCAGGCCGCCTTTGTCTAGGGTGGGTCTGAGCTCCTGGGCCCAGTATGAGCCAGAACTGAGCTGGGCTGCCTGCCCGGTTCCTAATACACTTTAATTGCAGAGCCGAAGCCGGGGTAGGTCCTGGACCCGTTTCAAGCCAGGACTGACTACTGGCCAGCCTGTAAAAGAATGTACTGGCTAGTAGGGGAGAGAAGAGAAATGTGTGTAGTCTAGATCAGTGTTTCTCGACCAGTGGTACGAGTACCCGTAGGGGTACTTGAGAGAAATCTGGGGGGGTTACATCAACACAACTGAAACTTGAAGAAAACTGAATTTTTGTTTTAAGTTTTACAGCACTTTATTCTTTTTGTACTTTTTACACCCAAAAATTTCATCGCCACCCAGCTACAATTAAGTTGTTTAAACAAATGTGTTGCAATAGTAGAAAAAAAATGTGTGTGTCTGAAAACTTTAGATACTGGGGGTACTTACAATTTTTTTAAAAGGGGTACTTTATAAAAAAAGGTTGAGAATCACTGATTTATAGCATTAACCTATAAGCTTTTGCTTATCGGTTAACTGACTACACTATTACATCCCTATCTCTAACCCAGCAGTATGCTGTCCATGTGCTCCTTCGATTTGTCCTCCCTTCTGTCCATCAGGTAAGTGACCAGGTGATGGATGGGCCGCACTGGGTTAGATCTGCTTTCTGATGTAAGCTGATGAGCACTTTCCTCTCCCTTTTTACAAGCCAGTGTAAAGTGGGGGGGGGGAGGGGGATAAAGAGTAACTTCACTGGGTTTCCTGTGGTGCACAGGAGCGCAGAATCAGGTCCTCTGTGCCTGCAGTGCACAATGGGCGTAAATCTGGTTTGGAGGGGAGTCAATTTTCATCCACACAGAGGGTGAATCAAAACAGAGATTCTGCAGTCAGAAGCAGTGACCTGCACAGTGTACAATTCACTGTCAGGCCAGAATTTAGGAGGCATGTTTTTGGTGTGGTAACAACTGAGGTATCCAAGTAAACAGTGTCCCCATCTGCCACTAGAGCGGGGGCATGGAGGGGGTTCACAACTATCCCACCGATGTGCTGGCTCACAGGCTGGAGCAGGATATATCTGCCACTAGATTGGGGGCATGGAGGGGGTACACAACTATCCCACTGATGTGCTGGCTCACAGGCTGGAGCAGGATACAAAGGGTTGCAAGAACACGCAAAAGACCAAATTCTGCTCTCCATTACAGTGATCTAGCCTCACTGGCTCTAGTTTTCAAGCAAAAACTTGACCCACTTAAGGTGGGTTTATTCCCAATTCATACCACCACTGTGCTGTTTAAATGATACGCATTCAGGAGGAGGAAAGCACGTTCTATTTGCCTTCTGTGGGATCATGGATAGGCTCTGGTTGAATGAAGAGAGCGTACGCAGGATATCAAACAGGGACATGTAGAGGGAAAGACAACAAGGCTGGCGCATTGACAGAACAAGCTCACAGCTATCCGCAGACATAACAAGGCTTGGGGCACGGATGGCTCCATTTTAGATTAGGCATGCATTGACAGAACAAGCTCACAGCTCTCTGCAGACATAACAGGGCTTGGGGCACGGATGGCTCCATTTTAGATTAGGCAGGGGAAGCTGTCAAATTGATTGCCTACTCCCATTAGGCCCAAGCTATATTAAAATTCAACAGCTGAACAATCCAGTCGAGGATCTTATTCCTGACCTAAAAGCTGTCATGGACTTGTAACCAAGTGAGCAAATCCACTTGTAGGTGTTGGTCTTTTCAAACCTCACCAAAGTTCTAGGCTAGAGCTGGGGAGATCTTCAGTAAGCATTTAGCACGTGTAAATTTTAGATGTTTTTTCTGCAATGCTTTTACCCTAAGAAGAAAAGCTGTTTGCTGTAAGATGGCTGGTTGGTAACTATTGTACATTGCTAGAGCCCCTGGAGACAGGTTACCCAAAGGTACTGGATGGGACCCCATCACACCTGCTGGGGAAATCGTGGTGAGGAGCAGAGGGACTGTAAGCCTAAACCTCTGGTCTGAAGGGAGAGAGATGGGGACATCTAACCGAGAGAGATGATGTCTGGGACATGGAAAGCTTAAGAGGGAGCCCTCAAGGACAGTCCAGAGCTGGGTCACAGATACAATTAACCTGAAACTACAACATGCACCGGTAAAAACCTTAAGAGCGAAAGAGCATTAGAATCATTCCCCACTCCCATGGTTAAAATGGACAGCAAAGAGATATGACTATGAAGTTTCAGTCAATGAGCAAAGTAAGGCCGGAGCAACTAACAGGAATCATTCAACTAAAATACCACCCATCCCCTGTGTTGCTTATAATGTACAGCGGCCTGTACATTTTTGCCATCACACTGG